AATTGGCTCCTCACCCCTTGCACCAACACGACGGCTGGGACATAAGATAAATGTCAGTCAGCCTTGCTGGAAAAAGCCTTGACAACGCACGAGTTGCGTTTCGAATTTCCGCCATGCAACTTTGCCTTGAAGGATTGTCCTTTTGCGCCCATCGAAAGCCCCGATGTATCCTTGTCTCTGAACTATGTAGGATACTCCAATCACAATGCTACTACTTCATACACCCTCTCAAGTGGTGCCTCGAAACCCTTCTTTTTAATGACTTTCTCTCAGCGAAACTTTCAATTCTTCCCACCCTCCTACTAGAGTTAAACTCTACCAGATGCGGTGCAGGACATGGTCATAGCATTGTAACAAGCTCAGTACGCCTGTAGTGTGGTGGTGCATCGTGGGTTCTTTCTTTTTGTCCCTCGCGGAATAGGAAGGCGAGGCTCTGGCCATGAATACAATCCAGCAACCTCACCCAGAGTCATTATCTGGAGACATCATTTCAGAGTCGACCTCCACGACCTTTGCCGCATGTGTCTCCGACAATGCTACCAATTACGACAGTCATACAATACCATCATCCGCTACGAGAATTACCGGTACTATCCTAATCACGGCTGTCGACGGTGATGCTCCAAACAGACCCCTTCCTCCGCTTCCCACACAATCCACCAAGGGCAAAGGAAGAAAGAAAGGCGGAAAGAGAGGGCCCCTTCCGGTTCAATGAACCCCATCAAAAGAACGCCAATTTGTACGGTTGCAGCAGATGACTACCGTCAATATCAACGATATACCAGTCGTTATGCGTGATGATAAACTCAGATTTGAGTAAGTTTAAGCTCGTTTGCTTACCAGCTAAGGCTATGTGAAAGTTAATACTTGTGTCATATTATTAGGAAACGCCATGCCCAAGACAAACTCAGCAATTATCTCGGGGATCGGCCGAACATCTTTCGGCCAACAGATGAGAATGAAGCCCAAGAAAGAATTAAACAATCCTTCAATCTGAAGATAAATCTCAAAGAAAACAAACAATCTATTAATAATCTCGAGCCACTTGCGCCGATCACTGAGATCAATCGACCTCTTGAGCATCGCACTATGGAATCTCGTCAAATCTCAGAATATAGCAGCGCCTACTTAGACTTGGGGATGCCTCAGCCATCGACACATGATTACGAGGAAGAATTACGAAAATTTGCTTTGAATAAAGCTGGCTCTTCCACGAAAGCCCCACCAGATTATGCGCCTGAACCAGCCATTCGCATTCAGCGCTCAAGCTTTGCAAGTTTCGAAAGTCTAGAGCGCCGCATGGCTTCTAGAGCTACAAAGGATGATCAACAATTGACGAGTTATTCATCCGCGGCTCTTCGCACTATGCTCTTTGTCAAGAGAAAACTTTCAATTGGATCGATTGCTAGTAATTGTTCAAAGACAACAGCCTCTTCTTCCAGCTCTCAACGAATCTCATGGTCGTCACTCCAGGGCGTTAATGCTTCAAAGTCTACAAGCCTCCAGCGTTCAAAATGGCCCCTCAGACTGAAACGTTCGCAGAAGCTACTACGCAATGACCCCCTTTGGCATAGCATCGCCACCCAAGTCACGGAAGAAGAGGCTGATGATCAAATGGAATTCGTTACCCAGTGGGAGAATGGGAATGAGCCCACAATTGAGTCCATAGTGCCAACACTAGCTGACAACTTGACTGTCGACCGCCTGCGAAAAGAAAAGCGCTATTTCCAAGAAGCACTTCGAGATCTTAATCGCGGTCTCGAATCATCTGACGAGACTTCAAACCTAGCCCCCTTGATACCAGAGGTTCAGATCTTGACCGATAATGAACGCCTATCCATATCTTCTGAAAATGGTATGGCGTCCTTTTTGGTCAGTCTTGGCTTGATTCCTCCAGAACCAGAGTTCGAAATATTGAGTTCCGACCCCGAGCAAGTATCAGTATTCGCTCCAACAAAGGCTAGTAATTGCTGCCGCAATTTACGTCGGGGAGATCCGAGGGCCTCGACATGCCAGGTTTGTCAACTGTCAGAGCCTGATTCACACCGTATTGTTCGTCTACCAGTGAGAGCTTGGCAAGACGGCGACGATACACCTCTCTCACAGAAACAGGCAGCATCGAAATTGACCGATGCGACTCTAAACCAGGTCGATATGTTCCACGACACACTTCTCCATACCGCAGCACGTCACGGAGCAGGGAGTGTAATTATGATGTGGCTTATTCATAAAGGCGTCAACGTGCACGCTCTGAATGCTGCGGGCCAGACTTTTATGCATGTTTTGAACCCGGTGGCGTTTAATGGACACACTCAAGACATATACCATGGAGGAGCGGAAGATTTCCACGAGCTTTTCTTTGCTCTCCAGATTCAAAGTTTCAATTTCCTTCACGTCGATGACTACGGCCAAACATTATGGCATGTCTTGACCCAGTATTGAATGCACTCGGATACTATCGCTGCAGCTTTTGACTGCATAGATCTGACTGCTATGTGCAAACCGCCCGAAAGAGACTTTCGTGGCCGCACAGTTGACTTGCAGCTACAGGCTCAGGCTACGAAGCAGGATCAGCACATTGTTGATGTTGATCGGCATGTAAAAATAACAGAGTTAATTCATCTCAAACCTTCCGGGGATTGGTACAAGGCGCCAGAGAATCATCAGATGGTCTCCGAGAAGAGCGTTCTTTGCACCCACCACCAATTACGTACCATAGTCAACCATTGCTTAAATGGCCATCCCGACGAGGAATATTTGGGAGGAAATGGATTGCACTGTCTAGCAGAGTCATGCCTAGCATACAATTGCGACAATAGTGTGTCCAACAGGTTGAAGCGCAAGTACCAACAGCAAGACAGCATCACACAGAACAAGTACATTTTGGACACCGTCAAGGGCCTCTGTGCCGCAGGAGTCGACGTGAACAGTTATGACCTCACTGGCCACACGCCCCTCATGGCTTTTCTCAAATATCTTGTTCCATCTCCAACTGACCGCAGCACTACTACTGAAGTGCTTCAACTTCTAATCTCAAACGGCGCCAACGTCCACCGACGTAACCGTAGAGGTGAGACAGCACTACACATAGCCGTGCGACTAGGCAAAACTGCAGCATTCGAAGTGTTATTGGCAAACCACGCCAACGTAAACGCGCGAACCAGCTGCGGCAAGAGCGTGCTGGATGTTGCAACCAAGGCTAGCATTAAAGGTGCACAGAAGGATACGGGACTGTATGCGAGGATAGTGGCTTGTATAAATATTGCTGCGAGATATGGGGCGGATATTAATCCAGATGCGAAGACTGAATGGGATGAGCAGATTAAATGTTATGCGAAGGGATCTTTGGCACTTGGGCTGTCGCGTAGAAAGACGTGAGGCCGTGAGATCTGGGTAGAGATCTGTAGGCAGGTATCCCTTCTCACGGTGCACAGAAAAAGCGGGCAGCAACGTATGCCAAGTCATCTGCCAGGCGGAGTGGTACATTGAGACTTGATGAAAATGAGAAGCACTCTACCTCTATATATTCCTCCTACGGTGCTACCCTTCCTGCCAGGACCATGAAGATAGAATGAAATCTCCAGTCTTTGAGGCCTTGCTGCTGCGGTATTCTCACCACCGCTACGATGACATGCATTTGTTCGCGGAGACTGATTTTCGCTGGTCCTACTAAGAACGTCAAGCTCGAGGCGATGGCCAATGGATATTTCGTATCCTCTTATCGTGCGACGGTGACCCTTAGAGATGGAGAGATGGATGGATGGATGGACGCAGAGATGTAATTATCCTGATAGCCTACCTGTCTGCGGCCTGCCAAAAGCTGCTTGATCTGCGATGTCCTCGTATGAAAGACCGGTAATTGGCAACGCCACAAGCGAGTAGAGAAGTATTTGTATTTACTTTAAAGTATATTATCCCTTGCTGACCTCTCTGAAGCTTTTCATTGGAGCAAAAGCATAGCTTTTAAAGAGTTTTGCTCCGATAGGATGCTTAAAGGAGGCGCGAATGAAGGTGCTAGGGAGTCCCTTTGGGCTTGGCGATCGGCACTTGAAGATCCACTCCACTATCTTCGCACTTGTACCTGAGCCGAAAGTTCCATGACTGACAGCGGCACATCAGATGAATCTGTACATCGCACTTGGCCATTATTCAGAATATTTCAATCTCACTATGAATGTCTAGGCCGCCGAATTCTATCGTATGCGATATAAATGCTCAGACTCTACAGAATTATGAACACAGGGCGGATACGACGTGATAGCAGATTATAGGTTACCCCCAAATGTGGTCTAGCGGCTAGTAAAGGGGTAGGGCAGGGCAGGCGCCGTCCAACGGTTGAATGCCGGACCCCCACCGAAAGCCTAGATGAACTTCGCCTTCGCCCTCGCCCTACAGTAGGCTCGGACACCTGTACTTCGATATATTCCGTACCTGCGAGCTTCCTTCTCGATTTGGCAAACAGACCAAGCTCTGATCTGATCTTTCAACGATAAGACAATTACTAATTAATCACCCCCAATTCCTCCGCAAAAGAGGCAAGTGCTTCTGCCAAGAAGAGCAAATGCCCGGGCTGGTGTCCTTTTTCGCGCGTCATTCTCTCATTCCAGGGGAGATGTCTCGTACCTTACTTCGACCCCACTGGCTTCCAAAAGCGATGGATAAAGAAGATAGTTTCTTGCTCTTCCCAATTTAAATGCTCCATGGAAAGGGTGGACTGTGCCTTGGCACTACACTGAAGAGTAAAGACCTCGAGTGCCAAAATTGGGTGAAACTACCTCAGATCTGGTAGTACATCAATGATCATCTGCTCTTTGCATTTCGACATTCCTTCTTATCAGAGGAGTAGCTCCCTAGATTAGCTTCTTAGGTTGCGCCTTCCTTTGTATATATCAACTTCTCTCCCCCAAAGGTTTCCCCGATCCACGGAAAGCCCTTACTCTCCTTTAGATATCTGACATCCAATATGTATCTCTCCAAGGCTTTGGGAGTATTTGTTTTAGGTACGCTTTTCCCACTCTGTCGTCCCTTGCATTGCTAACATACATCTAGCTTCTTCTACGCTGGCACAACTGCAGTCATTTTGCTCGGTGGACAATGTCTGCTATGCCGTCAATGTGCCAGAGGCTAGTGCTTCCAGTGGAAGTGGGGATCTCTTCTTCCAGATTAGTGGACCGTCGAATATGTCATGGATTGGTCTCGGTCAAGGAACTTCAATGACGGGAGCAAACATCTTCATGATCTACGCAAATGCAGCTGGAACAAATGTTACACTATCACCACGGAACGGTATTGGGGAGAAGCCACCAACTACAGACAGCACCGCCTCTGTTACTCTACTTGACGGATCTGGCATCTCCAATGGCACCATGACGGCAAATGTCAAGTGTTAGTTTATCAAAGTCAATGTTCGTCCTGACCAGACTAACAAGTTTATCTAGGCTCTAATTGCAACAGCTGGTCTGCCGGATCTATGAGCTATACTGACGTCTCTTCAAACGTAAGGATAACTGGCTCTTTGATTTTACCCTACCCCCTGCTATCATGTTTCGTCTCATGTACTCCAACCACTCCTTATATATTTCCTAAAAAGGGAACTTGCTCTTCTCCTGCTCTTGATACGCTTCCGAAGAAGAAATAACTAACTCCCCCGTGATCTAGTGGATCTGGGCATACAAGAACGGACAGCCAATTGCCTCTGACAGTGCCACCGCTGCAGTCACTTTCCATAGCAAGTTTGGTAAACAACAATTCGATCTCACACAAGCTGCCGGAGGAAACAGCGCGAACCCTTTCACCGCAACTACCGCCGCAACAACTTCTGGGGGAATACATTCTGGCCCACCCATGGGCTCAGGTGGACCTCCAAAGTACTTCAATGCCGTTCTGATCGCACATGCAACCCTTTTGCCCATCGCCTTCGTCCTCCTCATGCCTATGGGTGCCATGGCCATACGTCTCCTCAGCTTCAAAGGTCTCCTCTGGGCGCATGCAGGCTGTATGATACTCGCCTACTCAATTTGTATAGCGGGTATGGGTATGGGTATCTGGATAGCCCTCACTGTGAACAAGCTCAATACATATCACGCCATCATTGGACTTTTTGTAATTTCTGCTTTGACCCTTCAACCCGTCACCGGTCTCGTCCATCACCTTCTGTACAAGAAGACGGGTGGAAAAAATGCTGCGACATACCCGCATGTTTGGTGGGGTCGCGCTATCGTGACTCTCGGAATTATCAATGGAGGTTTCGGTCTCCAGCTGGCTAGAAAATATGCCCCGCTGGCCAATGGAAGCCGAAAGGGAGAGATTGCCTATGGTGTCGTGGCAGGTCCGATGTGGATCCTTTGGATGTCTGTTATTGTATTCTCGTCCTTTAAGAGCAGAGAAAAGCAGCAAGGTGAAGCTGTCGTAGTACGCCCAGGCAGCGGAGAGAAGATCATGACTGGACATTCTGAATAAGAAACAGCCACTGCTTATGGGTTCAAGGCTCTGAGATTCCTTATGTTAGGGATGCAAAATATCCCCGAAAATATTATTACTTTACTTCTTGCAGTATCGGCGTTGAAGAAAATAAGGATCGGTGATGGGACATATCACAAACGATCATACCGCTCATTAAAAAACCGTACTATTTCTTTTAACAATGGAAACCCATTTAATGATATATCACTTCTAATAATCTCTTCTATATTCTTCAAAAGTAAAATTGTTGGTGAATAAAAATACATTTCACGTGACACGCCAAAATCGCCGCACAATGTTGGAATTTTCCAATCTTTACCCCACCAATTTTCTCACGACAGCACCGAACAACAACACCATGAGTAACTTAAACGGCGGTGCTCCGCCACGAGCAGTTGATGATGATTCTGATATCGAGGAGGAGGCTTTGGCCGCCGACTACAGAGAGCAGGTTCAATACGAGGGCATGGATGACATGGAGGGAGGCAGCTCAATGAGCATGGAGGGAGGCAGCTCAATGAGCATGGCACAACAGACCGACGACATCCAGTCCAGGCTTCTTGGTGCTGCGCAACCTTTGGACTTCTCAGCGCCTCTCGAGACCAAATTTGCGAGTTACGACAACTACTGTAGCTTGTTCCACTTCATCTTGAACTCTGATGGACCTGTGGACCTGGAACCTCCTTCGGTGCGTGTTCACACATCTGTCGCGTCTGCCAATACTGACTGATAGAACAGTACTTCTGGGCCTGGGATGTCATTGATGAATTCATCTATCAATTCAATTCCTTCTGCTCGTACCGAAATCGCGTCGCGCGCCAAGGCAACAATGAAGAAGAGATTACGATACTCCGCGAAGCACCAAACACATGGGGCTGCTACAGCGTTCTGAACGTCCTATACTCCCTTATTCAACGATCGCAAATCAACGAACAACTGGCAGCTATGAAGCGTAACGAGGAGCCGATGGCAGTGGCAGGAGATTACGGATCGAAGCCGCTATACCGAATGCTGGGATACTTCTCTATCATCGGTCTTTTGAGAGTACACTGCTTGTTGGGAGATTTCAGTCTTGCACTGAAGACTCTCGATGACATTGAGCTCAACAAGAAAGCCATGTTCGCCCGTGTTCTGGCTGCACACTTCGCAACCTACTACTACGTAGGCTTCTCCTACATGATGATGCGCCGATACGCAGATGCTATCCGCATGTTCAGTCACATCCTTATCTACGTCTCGCGCACCAAGAACTCGCAGAAGAACGCGCAGTACGATTCGATCACCAAGAAGAACGACCAGATGTACGCTCTTATCGCAATCTGCGTGGCTTTCCACCCTACCAGACTTGACGATGTCATCCACACCGCTCTCCGCGAGAAGTATGGTGATCAGCTGTTGAAGCTTCAGCGTGGTGGCCCGGAATCTCTTCCTATCTTTGAGGAGCTGTTCCGATCTGCTTGCCCCAAGTTCATCTCACCCACCCCTCCCGACTTTGATAACCCAGAGCTCAACGTTGATCCCTTGGAGCACCACCTAGCCATCTTCATGGATGAGGTCAAGACCAATATGTGGAGCCCAACGGTCAAGTCATACCTGAGACTTTACACTACGATGGACTTGAAGAAGTTGGCTGGTTTCCTTGAAGTCGAGCCGGAGAAGTTGAGAGGATGGTTGTTGGTGAACAAGCAGAGAAGCAGACAGATTAGATGGAGTGATAATGGACTTTTGGACGGTGAGATTGTAGGCTCAGGTGATCTGGATTATGCCATGCAAGGGGTATGTCGCGCAACACGTATATCCATGATTATGCTAACCCTTCTTCAGGACTTGATTCACATTTCAGAAGCCAAGGTTGGCCGTAAATTGGTGGATTGGTATCTTAGAAATCTTGCGAGAACATACTAAGATGTGGATGTTGAGAGCTGACTCGATTTCGCTTTGGGGCTATTGCATGGGATGGCGTATGGGCAGGAATGGATGAAAAGCGTCTCAAGGCTTATGTGTCACGATGACAGATAGATGGCTATTAGACTGAGTGCTTTGAAAATACAGAGAATCACAAAGCAAGTAAATTCAACAATGCATTAATTGAATGCAGTTTTGTGAGCTTGTCGCCTTGTTAGTGTATTAGTGAGCCTGTAGTCAAGGCTCAGCCGCGTGCTTACGTCCTCACAAACATTTTTCACACCGACATTCGCTCTCTGTATCAGCCCGTAGGACCTCCGGATCTTATAAATTGTCGGGAATATTAATCTATCAAGACTGATGGGCTATTCCATACGCAGGCTCTAAACACCACAGTGTAACGATACACGAGATACGGTCTACAGCGCAAACATCTTGGCACCTGAAAAGAGCTCCACCAGCAAGCACCAGGCCCAAAACCGCCCCAGAGACCATCCCTGCCCCAGCCTTCCCTACCCAACCTCGAAATCTACTCGTATAGCAACAATAACAACAGCAACAGCAACAGTCCATGCATACCATTCAGGTCCCAAACCCAGCAGTCCTCGCAGACTACGCCCTCGTTCCAGATCTGAGCTTGTGGAGAGGCATGATATAAAGATGGCTGCGCTTTCGAATTCCATTCCCCATCCCACCTCTCCGCGCCTTGCCGAATCGTCGCCCTCCGTCTCCCCTTTGACTCTCCCTCGCGGAGACAGCTTTCCCAATCTCCATTCTCAGCGTCTTGACCGCATTGTCGAGCACGAGGTGGCAGACCATGGCCGCACTCAGTTTCGTGATCGAACTGCTTCTCTCACCAGCATCTCCTTCAAGGGCCCCTTCCCAACTGAGTCGTCCAAAGCCAAGGGCAAATCTCGTTCTTCGAGCCTGAGAGGCGCATCCCCGCCGCCGCCGTCGTAAGTCTTGACTTCTTTCTCCATGTAGTTTGAAGGACGGATCCCGTGCAAAGGGAAGCGCAACAGCTGTAAGGTTATTCGACAAGGCGGATCTGCAAACTTTCCTTCTTCCCACGCACACTCCTCAGCCTTGGGATTCGCTTGGGGTGACGCGGGAGAGGCTTGTGACCAACATCCAACCTTACCCCACCTTTTCGGGCCTCCTTTTTCAATCCCGCCAGTGTGTTGTCTTGCAATTCTCTTCATCTATTTTTAGATGAATATATATCTTCTCTTCCTGGAAAATGGTGCTGACAGAAGTTCAACCTGACAGCAGGTTCCAGCATCATGTATCCTTCGACAACTTCGCGGCCGCAGAACCGACAGTAAACAACACCATTTCGTTTACTCTAAATGTCAAGCATACGGGATATCAATTCAAGAGACGCTCGCGCACGTTCATGGTCGGCATAGATGAGAATGATTACTCGAATATTGCGTTACAATGGATGCTGGAAGAATTGGTGGACGATGGGGATGAGATTGTTTGTCTCAGAGTTGTGGATAAAGGCTCAAAGATCATCAGCAATAGCAATTTGGAGGTGAAGAGATACCAGGAAGAGGCAAAGGAAATGATGAACCGGATTCAGTCGAAGAATGACGATAATAGAGCCATTAGCATTGTTCTGGAATTTGCATTTGGGAAGCTATCTTCTACGTTCTTGCAAATGGTAACGTCACAAAATGGTAGTACCAAGCATGTGCTGACTTGTACTACAGATCCAAATCTATGAACCGGCTATGCTGATTGTTGGAACTCGAGGTCGAAGCTTGGGAGGAGTACAAGGACTAGTCAGCCAGCGAAATTCCTTCTCGAAATGGTGTCTACAATACTCGCCAATTCCAGTTGTAGTAGTACGACCTACCGAGAAGAGAATCAAGAAGAAAAACAAGCGAGGGGCAGATCCAACACGGCAAGACTATGCTCGAATCTTGAGGGAAAGCGGGATCGAGGAGCACGAGACAAACGTCGGTGCGAACCATATTGATTTCGAAACCTCAAACAGCCCAGATGGAGAAGCCCATGCAGTAGCAGCAGCTCTCGGCTTACCCGCCGCTTTTGACCCTACACTGAAGCCGATAAACCTCCCCGGCAGCCATACCTTGAAGAAAGTCGACTCGGGAAACAGCGAAGTAACGAGTATTTCCAAAAGCAGCATTTCTCCCGACTCTCGCCCCAACAGCCCATCCATTGTCATGAAACGCGCAAAATCCCAGCTCGACAGTCCCGGCGCATCAGGCGACGAATCTAGCGATGATGACGAAGAGGGGGAATTCGAAGTCACACCTGGTCTTGCACTGTTAGATCAAGACGAAGGTCCGCGTCCGGAAATCCAGAAGAAGATGAAGCTGCATGAGATGGAGGTCGGTGAGGCGCAGGCTCTGCAGGGTAGGAAGAGTAGTATAGGGAGTGTGGATAGTTTAGCTTCGGGGAGGGGGCGCGTGCCTGATATCGAGGATGAGGATGAGGGTTAGGTGCCTCTGTATGAATCCTGGATTGGGGAACGGGAGGTATTGACACTGTCTGGTATTGAGACAAGAGTCGCTTCTCTCCATATCAGTTGGGCTGGATCTACACATGGTAAAGGTCGGGAAAGGTCGGGGTGAAATGGAATGGCATGAAATTAGATGAGATGAATTGTTTGCTGGAATTTTCCATGAGCGTGGCATGGCGTTGCGTGGCGTTTCAAGGCTAGGCTGTGTACTAAGCATATCTTTTTTTTTTTTTTTTGGCTTGGGATGGATGGATTCTGTTAGGCTAGCTATAGACTGGGATTTGAGCTTACGGAGTAGTTAGCTTTCTCCTGCGTATAACGGCATAGTATGTATGGAATAAAAACCCCGATTAATGACCCCCATTGTAACATTGTAAGCACTCGCTCGCTTGATTACAGTATAGTATACGAGATAAGAGGGAAAGAAAGTCGGCAGTCAAGTGATGACAGTTACTATACCAGATTTTAGGTAGCTAAGGGTATGTATGAGGTAAGGTATAGCAGATGTATTTTGTTTATGACGTGGTATGGTATTAGGACTCAGAGTAACATTATTATGTACTTACCTACTTATACTACGGAAACTTACTTACTCCGTATAGACTATGTAATGTATGTATGTATGTATGTATGTACCTCTGCGCAGTGGGTATGTATCCGAACCGCATTTAGGGCATGGAAATGGAAATGGAAATGGAAAGGCATGTGGTTATTAGTTGAATATGTGGTGTTACTGACTATAACCATACTTCATTTCCAAGGCAAGAGGACTCGTGCTATACGTTTACTGCGATGTTTAAGTTAGGGTCTTGGGTGGGGAAAGAAAGGGGTACGGAGTAAGTATACTCGCTAAGCGAGGCCTCGCAGCAACATACCTGCCAACGAACAATGGTGCATGAGTTGGAATAAGCAGAGAACTGGCACATACGACCATAGACTGAGGAGAATTGGGCATCCCGTCCGCTCTGCCATACACAAGCCTCAGATCGGCAGATTAGTAGTTGGGTGGGTGACCACCAGCGAATACCTGCTGTTGTATGTATAGATTTATATTTTTGTCATTTTCTTTTGTTAGCGGGTGGGAGGCGCATATTGTTTTGTGTGTGGAGTGAGAGAGAGAGAGAGAGGGAGTGAAAAGTGTTGAAAGGGTGATAGGATAAACATCTGGATTGAGTGAGACATTTTGGGAAGAGATGGTGTTTTGTGGCTGTATAGTATGTTGGTTGGTCAGTCGGCGATTGAATCTTGGGAAGTTATATGCCTTGCTACGCAAACCACAGACATGATGTATATCTACTCCTGTAGAGTAGCATGGAAATCAACGCAGATCTCCTAACCCTCTTCTCCAGGATTAGTTTTGCTCGTTTGACTCCTATGGTGTTTTACGGCCTCCCCCATAGTACGATATCTGCTAGACATAAAGAGCAGCGCTTATTGATATCGACTTCTTAATGTTCCACGCCCCCCGACACTTTATAAATCGATGCTGCTTTTCCTGTGCACCGCGCAGCTTCTTTTTGTGGAGACAGCCGTAAAAATCATACTGTAGGAGTTAATCTATTCTACCACCCATAACTTTGCAACGCATTATCATAACGAATACACTCCCTCGACCCCTCGCCATATCTATCTCTCGCCAACCTCACAACCTCTCGCATGACCTCCTTAGCGCGCATCTTGTTATGCCTCTTATCCTGTTTCTTCAAGGCGAGAAAATAATAATACCCCGTTTCGAGATAGTTCTCCATCCCACCACCCCACTCATCCCTTCCCCTGTCCCACAGCTGGCCCAGCTCTTGTATCGCACCGCTATAGTTCCGCATCGCGTACCGGCATTTCCCATACTTGAATGAGTAGAACAGCGCGTCTTCTGGGGGGAGGATTCCCTGGCCGTAGGATAGCAGTTCCCGATAGACGGTCGAGGCACTTTCGTATTTCTCCCTCACCTTTTGCTCCTCCAGAATCGCAGCCAGTTGACCCCCATGGGAAAGCAGAATGAGTCGCTCGTTCGCTTCTAGATGTTGAGCTTGATCATCAGTGGCTAGTTTTTCCTTGGAGTGCGTCCACACCTCTGTGAATACTTCAATGGTGGTGTAAGCCGGCTCCACAATCTTCCCATAATCGCAACCGTTCTGCAGAGTAACCAGGTCGAATATCCTGAGTTTCTTCCGCCCTTCCCACGACTTCTTGAGGAATATCTCGGCGGTGCGTCGCTCGTTCCCGGCAGCGAGAACGTTGCCCAGCGCGTGATATGCCGTCATGGCCTCGGCGTTGGTTTTCGAGTCATATTCTCTGTACTTGACAATAGCCCGACCCATGCGCTCGGCTGCTTTCCAATCCTCCATTTGCACATAGCAGTGGAACAGGCGATCTGTGATTTCAAAGACCTCCTTGCTCTTTATACCATACCGGGCAATGCGGGATAACCGAACTGCTTCGAAAACCGACACAGCTTCTGCGTATTTCTGGACTGTGATAAGGTGGAGGCCGTACTGATGACCAAGGGTTAACAGTTCAGCTGATGGCGCGGTTGGATTTCTCCCTTCCCACATTTCTCTGAGAATATCTTCTACTTTTTCCAGGTCACACTTGGACCCTCTAGCCTCCTCAGCCTCGATGGCTCTCTGTGCAAAATTCAGCATGAGTGATGAGCCCAGTCCCAATTTTGTCTTCCCCTCTTGATACATCTGATAGAACTTATGAGCTGCCGGTTCAACCTTACCCTCCTCCACGAATATCTCGCCGAGCTTGAATCCGTTTTCCAGCGCTCTAATTGGCGCCGAGTCGATGAACTCGGCGTAAATCCTCCTGTGCTCTGCTTTGGCGATTTCAAACCTTTTAAGCAGTCGAAGTAACAGACAGTACTGGTCGTGACTCCAGCGCGTCTCCACCACTAACTTTAGCTCTTCTCGTCTCTTATACGTTGCCTCGGCTATTTCCAAAACTTCCTCATACCTAGCCGGGTTGCTAAGCTCGAGGACCATCTTGACGTAGTCGTGTCTGTAAGCAAGGTACTTTTTCTCACAAGCAAGAGCCTCGGTCTCGTTTCCCTGTGCCACAAAACTCTCCATGCCGCCCTTCTCAAGCTTACCGAGCTCGGCATATATCTTTGCAGCTTTCTCCCATTTCTTCTCCTTTTTCAACTTAAGAACAAGCTCTTTCCTGAGAGACTTGCCTTCTTCTGTAACAGTGGCGAGGCTTTGCCGGCATTGCTCTAGGTCATCTGCTGTACCGATTGGGACCTTGCACGTCTCGCATACAGCGACGTCCGGCTCCACGGCCACGGGAATGACGGCCTGCTGCGGAGGCTCTTCATTAGCGTTAGAATCGGCATTATTGGCAGCTTCAGTAAGAAGCCGGTCTGCTTCGGCTCTCCTTTGCGACTCTTCCTCTTGAGAAATCTGCCTCAAGACTGTCTTATAGTCATCTGCGAGTTTATACGCAGCGCCCGAGTCATCCTCCACAGAAATGCTTCCTTGGATACTCCATACAATGCTGCTCGACTCGTCAGCTGGAAGTCAGGCCGTGGGTAAGGAGTAAGTCAAACCTGACAAGCAGATTCTGATGATCTGCTAAAGGACATTCCCTGAGCAGATTCCTCAGCCATCCCAGTCTAGTTCGTAGATCGATAATGATGGCCTGAACATGGTATTCGCAAAGCAGGCATGATGTCCTTTCAGCTTCTGGTGGTATCGCTTTTTTGAAATGTGCACAATTCCGCATGCCGTGTGCCTCTTTCGTCAGCTGAGCGATCCTTTCTGCTTCGTGGGGAAATTGATCTGTAGTTGTTTGTGGTATGAACCGTGGCCATTTAATCTGGATATTCTCAATTTCTCGATAGTACGTATCAAGCTCCACAACGGCAAACCATAACCTCATTGTTTGATTTGCTTCCTTGTCGGCCGTGAGCCCCAGCCCAAAAAGAACCGTTCCAAGTTCCGAGAGGCGCTCTCGCACAAGTGCCATAGTGCGTACGTAAATGTTCAAATAATGATGCTAAGTGCGTCGATATAGTGGGTAGCGTAAGTAGCTACACATTTAAGGTTGAGGGTAAGGTAAGATTTCCAGAGTCTTTTTTGGACGTGGGGCAACGCGTCATTTTGTGTCATGGGCATTGGGCGACCAGTAAGGCATTTTGGGACTGATTGTTGCCCAAAGTACTAAAATGAGGCTGGTTGGGGAATATAATTGGTGGACTGGTTCGCGATTCTGCATGCGTTGTGCATGCATGAGGGTCGCTTGACCCCATGTATTGGGTGCCACATATTGATACTGCGCATATACTTTCACTTGAGAGAGAGAAGCCTAGTATGAGGCTGAGATAGACTACACTCCCAAATGTGGGTTTTCTGGCGGCTCTGTTTACGTATATATAAACAAAATATCTCCAACTCACCATCACGTGCTAGACCAGCCCCTTCCCCCTCGCTTAGTACCTCTTTATCTCTAACGACAACGTATCTACATAGGTATACAATATTAGAAGCTTGCTTTATCAGATTTAGACATTTTGATACAAAGATAGTATAACGCCATTGATTTTATTAGATGAAGTTTATTGAAAGTGAATGCCAGTATGAAAACTTGATAAGTAATATACATGTCCCTAGAGCAGGTCCTACTTGCACTTATCAAATGCAAGGAGATTAGAAGATCTGGTCTCTTGGAATCATTTGTTTAGTAGGGAATTTTGGCATTATACTTCCCTTGATAAATCCTAATCAGGTTGGTGGGTTGGCGGTGATGGTTAAGGCGGTGATGGTTGACAATTCGGCACACAACAATATCAAAACAAAACTCTCGCGACCTTTCTTTTGAAAACACCAGGCTCAAACACATCACTACGAGCACCACAAGTCCACGCCATGTCAGGACTACGTCGCAACGCTCGCAATTTTGAGCCTCGGGGACCTTCCCGCGACTTTGAAGGACCCCCCGAAAATCCTCAAAATAATCGCCGCCCTAGAGATGAAATTCGAG